AGACAAACACAATTTGTGATCAATCCAGAAGTCATTCAAATGTATAGAGATGAAGGGTTTTACCAGGATTTTGGAAAGAACACCATTTTCTGCTACAGACTCTCAGATTTATGAAGGCAGAGAGCATGTCTGTCTTATTCATATCTATAACTTGCTGGGACATAGCACAGAGCTTAGCACATAGTACCAACAATTCTACATTGATTTAATTATTTTTTCATCATCTCAGAAAACTGTGAGAGTATTTAGTAGATGGCACTATTGTGGAACATATACAGTAAATACATTTAAGAAGCAATTTACCTTATTTCCCTGTCTTTAGAGAGTCATGTTTAAAAATCCGATAAGAGGAAAAAACCGATGTGAAAAAATAACAACTAGATCTATTTAATGTGGCTGAACAAAATATGGTTAATAGCTGGTTCCACTGAATGACTTAAACCCGATCCTTTGTTAGTGACTGTACACTAACAATATGATTTGAATCACATAGTGTTTCTGTAAAATTAGCTCATTTCTTACAATCTTAACCTTGCTTTTCTTCAAGCATCAAAGTTTAGCAATATACCATACACAACCTATTTATTATTAGTACCAGCATCATTCTCAGAAAAGGAAAGAGGAGAGTCATTCCAATTAAAATATAAGCAAAACATATAAACTTTAAAGTTTTAAAATAAAGTTAAAGAAGCAAAACACCTAGCAGAAACAAACTATTCAATCTCATCAGAGGTCTAAAATACTATCTGATACATGGGAAGACCAGTATTTAAAAAAAAAAAGATTTTTTTTTACTGTATGTATGTCAGTTCTCCAAAAGATTATATATATGTAGATACAAAAGGATCTCAAAAGTGATGTTAGGAGACAATTGACATTTAGTACTGTACTTCTATATCTTTGAATATTTCCTATTTTAAGTAACAAATACTACCTGAAACTAACAAAGAAAATTTTGAGAGAAGAATCAGGGGACGAGACCTTGTTTACATGATGGCAGAATATAGCATAAAGATAGGCTAATGAAATACAGAGGATTTGAACCTTTGTAAAATAAATGGTCCTGACACAAAGTGGCTGTCTATTTAAAGAAATATAAAATTGAATGCCTACTTTGTGCCTTGCATATTAGTGTCATAAGGGCAAGCAAAACAGATTAGTAATTTTAAAGTATTTTCTTTTTATTTAATCTAGTGCTATGCACACATATAGTATCTGCTTAACAAATTCATATTAATTGTTTACATTGTAAAAATTGAAAATTATGTATCTATAATAATTTAACTTGTATAAAATCTGGACAGTACTAAAATAACAATAATGGTAATGTCAGCAACTAACACCTACAGAAGACTATCTTTTTACCAGGTACAATCCTAGGAATTCTATAGGTATTACCTTTTTTATTCTTCATGGTAACTCCATGAGGTAGATTCTGAAACTCTCTACAGTTTGCAGAGGAGGAAATCACGAGACAAGAATGGTCAAGTAACGTGCCCAAGGTCAGTCATATGGAGAAAAAAAGTGGAGTCAGGATTTGAATACAGACAGTCTGACTCCAGGAGCCTCATCTCAAACTATAAAATGTGTGTATGCGAATATTCATATTCACTCTCTTACTTTTTACAACAATGTTACTGTCAGAGATTATTTTAAATGTACATGAGTGAAAGACCTATAGAAAAGATAATGGAAAAAATGTCTTCACTCTAGTGAAGACAAAAAGGACAGCAGTTAAAACTTCCACAAGAAGAATTTCTTGAATGAGAATTATTTTACTTACTTAATATTTTACTAATTCTACTTATTTTATTAGTGTACTTATTACAGTATTTTAATGTTACTGAAACAACTTCATTTGGATGTAAATAAGAAGACATGATTTTCAGTGAGATATGTAAATATACTGTTAAATATTACTCTTTTACATTTCAGGTGTTTTAGTATAATGCATTCTTTACTCAAATTTTAAGAAAAAAAAAGCTTGAAGTATCTATAATGACATATAACTAGAGCCGACTTTGAAGAGATATTTAGCAACCAACACAATCATATTGAATAAGTATTTTCATATGATATATGTATGTCAAATATATATAATACATGTTATTTAATTACTAATGTCTTTCTTAAAGGGAAGAACTTTATTCTTTATTAAGATTCCATGGTAGAAGTTATAAAGGATTTCTGTTGGAACACATTTGGAAAATAGAGTAGCTTTAGTTGACTTGCACTGCACAGAAGATTATTAAAGGAATTCATATCGAAGTCCAAATCATAGTTCAATGTCCTGTATCTGATTCCGTGATCTCTGTAAGAAAGTCTTCTGCAAAGAATATGCCCCTGTACAGCCGAGATATTTAACATTGCTTGATTTGCTTACCGTTATTCCACTGCAAGCTTCTGGTGTAATCCCACATACAGTTTACAATTTTAACTGGATTTGAGATTAAAAATTCTTATACTCTGAGGAAAAACTGTTGTTTTGTACTCATAGCAACAACTTGCTATCAGAATGAGTTTAAAACCCATTCGCTTGATTGACAACAACTTGCAAGCTGAGTAATAAGTGAAGAAACTCTTTCCTTTCTGCAATTCAGCTCGTCAGAGACAAAGCATCCCATTAAGCACCATGCTGAAGCCAGCTAGTAACAGCCTCGCCCAGTTTTCATCCCACTTCTTCCCCTAAACTCTAACAATCTTGGAACTCCCCATTTCCCCCAAACTGTTTATATGATACACAGTCAGCTCTCCTCAAAGGAACTGTGCCTGACCTTCATCGGTCACCCTTCCTGGTAAGGGCAATACCAGCCCTGTCTTTTCAATTGAGATGATTGGTTACATGAGCCTCTGATAAAATCCTGCAACAAAAAGTCCTATAATATTATTTTTAAATAATTGACAATCATTATGGATATGGAGATCCTAGTGAATATAGTTGACACTTGCCAACACTTTTAGATTTGTGTTTGTAAAATAAACGTAGTAAAATGAAAACACAGTGACTAAGAAAGAGAGAAGACTCTTAAGTCAGATACATGCAGATTTTATCCTGGATCTATAATTTACCAGTTGTGTGACATCATTAGATCTCTAACATATCAGTTTCTTCATATGTAGAGTGGGGTTAATAATAAAATAGCCTCATGGCTATTTGGTAAAGACCAAATGAAATAGTTGTCTAAAATACAAACATTAGTAATGCCAAATTTTTGTTATTGTATTTCTGATTAACTGTGTCTTTGGTTTAATCCAGGCTTACTAATGTTTATTTTTAGATGTATTTAATCATAGCACAACAATGTTTAAAAGAGATATGGATAGTCTAAACCTTTTATAGTGCAAAAGTTTGATAATATTATGCCTCTTCTTTTTTTCAGTTTAAGAAAATAATGTTGCTAGAGAATAACTCAACATTTCGCCATAACAGATATGCTGCAAAATAATCTCAAGTTATTTAGAGGCAATTACTGTTTTCTAGTAACTAGATCAACAACCAAAAATCAATAATCAAAAATATTCGAAAATGAGCTTACATTTTCAGTGCATTCTTTATGCATCCGAGAGTCGTTTTGTGTCTTGGAGTGTGTGTACTCTTTTCTCATTTCCCTACCAATGATGATGCTTTTGCCCCAAAGAACTTCAAATATGTAGACGTTTTTTTGTTTTGCTTTAATTTCAAATATATCTCCTACAGTTAAGAAACACAAAACCCAGACATGTTGAACCTGAGCGAAATAAATGCAATGAGATTGTCAGAATAAATTTGTCTAGGTGAAAATTGCATAAGACAATGGACTTCTGGGGCTGAGGAGGAGGTTGCATATAGGGGAGTAGAGGGCATGAGGGCATGGTACCTATCACAAAATAGGCATTCAGTAAGTAGCTGTTGAATGAATGAATACATGAATTTATATGAACTACTGAATCAGGAAAGCCTTGACTCAACAAACCCTTGTAGATTTCTTGTTGATTCACTGCCAAGGCTCCTTGACACAGACCTTTCTTTTGTAGAGGTATTTTTTAAATCATTTCTTTCCCTTACCTCTTTTCCTTTCTATTCTTATTAGTACAAAACCCAGTGACACGGCATATCCACTTATATTGAATCAACTGATTTTACTAGCTAACTATCAAGGACACACAGAAACTCTTAAGGCTTTATGCCTTCAAGTTGTTTCCTACAAATAAGAGACTAGCTCCTGTTTTTTCTGGTACTTAATGGATATTCATTAAGTGAAAGTAATCTGTTTATTGGGTTAATAATCAAAGATACATGAAATTACGTAAATTATTAGAAAAGCAATCCCACCCATTCAAGGAATTTTTGAATATAGAATTAAGCAATTTGTTTTTCCAACTAGGTTCTGCAATTAATTAATTAACAATAACTCATTCAAATTTAAATTCAGTGTCTATAACAGTGTTTTCCACTGAGAATATACAAGATGGTCCAATTAAGTGCAGAAAAAAATAAGTAAACTTTTCTTTTATCTTTGTTCTAGTAAAGCTAAAAAATTTAGGGTAAGGGAACAATAACATTCTATAGATTGGAGAGCCCAAGAACTTTATTCTAGATGAACCCTAGTGATCCTCTATAGCTCATCCTCTTCATTTTGTATTATTTTATGCCTGTTTAGCAATATAAACGTTATTTTAGTATAATATTATTTTATAAAAATCCTGAAGTTCATAGAAAATCTAGGTAAAAGCATTATCATTTAACTCCACTGTGAAAACCTTAAATGGCAAAGGTCTGGTCATAGTGATTTCATATAATTATAAATTTTTAAAAGACTAAGAGTGGTCCTTAAATACAACTTAAAGACTGGATAGCATAAACCTTTTTTGGTGGTGCATCTCATAACATGAAAATATAAATTATAACCTTGGCATTAGTCTTTACAGAATTATGTTGGGGAAATTGTTTTAAGAAATATAAAGACTTTACAATGTATGTTACCTTAGTATCTCCACTGAGCTTACACATTAAAATTCACAAATACCTAACAATCCTTTTACGAAGGATTGTGTCATCCTTGAGCAGGGGCCCTGCCGATCTTCTCCGTGTCGTTCCAATTTTAGTATATGTGCTGCCTAAGCAAGCACACAATAACCTTTTTAAACAGGACAAATGATTGTAGCTAAAAATAATTTGACCCTAAAAATGTTGTAGATGAAATGAACACTTTTATAATGTCTAGAAGCTTAAGAAATGACTAGGTTCTAAATATGAGATCAGTAAACAGTGCTTAGTATGTCAATAAACTGCTACCTATCTGTTAACTCTGTTAAATTTACTTGATAGTCACACTGTGTATAAACAATAAATATTTTATTTCAGAGACTATAAAATAAAAATTATCAAGAGAAAGGGGAGTGGAAAGAAGAAGAATGGAGGGGTAGTATAGGGGAGCAAGAAAGTCAAATGCTGCATTAATTGCTTTTAATTGTAAATTTTAAAAGCTATTTAAGAGTCCAGAATTGACAACAGCTGAGGAGTAGGTAGCTCTCATGCCTTATAGATCTTTTATGGACAATTGAATAGTCTAAGACTTCTTTTTTTTCACTTTAAAAATAGTTTGGTAACAACATTTTTTTTTGCATGGAGAGAGAGTTTTTTCTGTTCTCAATCTATCTGCTCTCAATCTATCTGCTCTCAATCTATGTCATTTGTAGTTATACACTAATTAAATGAACTGTAGATTTTCTCTTCAGAAATTACAATAGAATAAATGGAGTGCTAAAAGGATGGTACCACATTCTTTGTCATTTACATTTAGCTCCTAAGAAGATTAACTATGCTCCTTTAATTGCTCAGCATTAGAAAGCAGGTTCCAGTTAATACCTAATGGAGGAAAGAGGGGCAAGAATTGAGGGCAAGTGGAGAAGTGTGGTGACTCACTGAGATTAATAGAATGTGATGTGGGATAGTGATTTCCACATCTAATGGAAAGAAGGAACACCAAAAATATATTTCTTCTACAAAATACCATGTCAGGAGACTCTGGCTCAACGCACACTCACAAACACACACACACACACACACACACACACAGGAAGTTCGTAAGTCCCCAACCCCCTCAAATAAGCCTAGATATTTAAAGAGAAGTAACGCCTTCATATGAATATTATTTCTAAGCATATAGAAAGTTTAGTTTTCTTTGAAAACACCCCTAAGTGCTCTGCCTGAAATAAAGTAGAAGGAATTTTGAGTTATATTAACTTGTACCAGGAATGTCTTGACAGGGAGGAGAGAAAGCCCCACAGAAGCCTTACGACTATAAACAGGCTTGAAAATTCTTCTGCATCAACCTCTGAAGACATCCTTGCTCCCGCACTTTCATAATTATGTATTACTTTATAGCTCAGGCCATTGTGAGGTGTGTGATTTGATACAAAGGCAAAGGGGGGTGGGCAATAAAACAGCGCTCTGTTCTCTGTGTCTCTATGTGTGTGTGTGTGTGTGTGTGTGTGTGTAGGTTTTTAAAAATGTGATGTCAAAGTTTACATGGTAATAACAAACTTAAAACCTTGTCAAGTAACATGCATGATGTTAGGCTCAAGATAGGATGGGACAGAGGCAGTATTTCCATTTTGTGTCACTTCATGTCCCAGATAATAATTCTAACAACAGTAACAGTTATTTGAATAATATTTTGCAATGTAAGTAAGCACTGGTTCCTTTGATGATATTGGGTGTAGAACTGGCTGACTTGTCTATCTTTACCAAAAGGCAGAAACAATCCAGAAAAGATGCACTAAGTTAACGTAAGAAACATTACAGCTTTGATTTCATACAAGTGAATTTATAAGGATTTTAACTTCAAATTTAAAAATTTGAATGAAAAGTACCGTGGATGATCCACCATCTAACCAGCAGGATTGAGGGGACCCATTTCCTCACTTCCCTGCTGTCACTGAATGCTTCCATTTCATTTTTCGGTCAATCTGATAAGAGTGGCATGGCATGTCACTGTTTTAAGTCCCTGACACTGACTGCTGGTGAACACAACCAACTGCATAACTTGTGGGGCCCCACACGAAATGAAAATGCAGAGCCTTGGCCCAGATCCAGAAAGCAGTCTCTCCTTCTCATAGCCCTGCCCTGCAATCCATGATGGATAAAGGTCTTCCAAGCCTTTGCATCTGGACACACTTGATACCTGGCTAGAGGTGGGCAAGGGAAGCCTGCTGGGTAACTAACTGAGCAAGTAGTGAAACAATCCAGGATCACGGCGTGGGGGGGGTAAGGGGGCGGAGGGGGGGAGGGGTGTGCCTGACCCCTCTGTTTCAGCACCCTGCCTAGCCCTACTGCTTTCATAGGGCAACAGCAAAATGGAGGCCTTCCTCAGCCATGCAGGCTGATTTTTGTTCCCTGCAGGGAGGGGCAGAAGCTATCCCAAGAGCACGTGCTCCAAATTCCACTCAGAGTTCACTTACAAAACCCAAATTCAAAAATAAAATTATTAAGAATTTTAAGATGATGGCCAGAGAGAATTAGACCCGAAGCAGGGGGGGCCTTTGCAGTGCAGGAACCTGTGTTAATGATCATCTGCCCATGAAACAGAACCTGCTAGTCAAAGTGAATATTTATTCACAAGTTTTTTGGATTTTTATATTTATTTTTCTCCAAATTTCTTGAGCATATCCTTTGCCAACTATTTCTGTTTATTTATATTTTTCTTAGGCATTTTAGAATCATGTTTAAGAGAGATATGAACATATTTTCTACCCAATACATGTTTAACATCATCTAGTCTATTTTTTTCCTTCTTAAAGACTTCAAACTTTTTGTGCAAAAAAAAGTAGTTTGATTTCTTTCCCTTTATGGATTCTGGCAATAAGATTTTATCCACTTCCAAATTATGAAAATATCCTGATGTTTCCCATCAATCCTTTTTATTTAATTAATTTATTTTTAAGTTTTTTTCATTTTGCACTTTAATTCAATGGAAATGCATTTATGTGTGTGATGAGATGTTTTGGTATAATTTATATTATTTCACATGGTTTCAGTAGTCAAATACCATTATTAAACTGTTCAGCTCATTTTATTTTTGGCATATAACCCCATCTATGTCACATACAAAATTTCCATTTGTATTTGGATAAGTTTTGGTTATCTTTATTCTACTGTACTGAACCACTTCGTTGTTATGATAACTACCTGATTAAAATAGCTTTGTTATGAACGGTAGCTACATTGTATTGCTGATTTTTTAAAGATTAGAAAGGGAGTCAACTCTATTCATAACATGCAGTTTAGCTGTTATTAAGTACATGGAAGTGCTTAACCATACATTTTATGTTCTCTTGGGTAATGAAGTTTGGTATAAAGGTTTACATAAAGATTTGTGAGTCATATCTTATATTAAAATTCTATTCCTATGACTACTAGTCAACATGTAAATTGCCTATCCTTTCAACACTATATTTTTCATCTCTAAAACAAGGATAATGAAACCTTTTAACAAAACACATTTCTTAAAACATTACAAACACTCAGTAAGTATTAATCCTCCTCCATCGTAACATCAGCACATTTAACTTTAATCCTAGTGTATCTCTGGCCATATCTTTCTCTTCTACCTTGTAACTTTCAAGTAGGAGTCATTTATCTGGCAATGAGGATAGAGCTAGATATTTTAATCCTATCGGAGGTACTATTTTTTCAGTAGAAATTTTAGTTTCTTTGCAGTTATTCTAATAATAAATACATTAAACTTATTCATTCTCTCTTATTTGACTTTTATTATTCTATATCATTTCATTTGCTTTTTTTTTACTTTTATTTACTGGGTTGAATACTTGGTATGTTTTCTTTGAGTCAGTAATCTCATGTCCTATATAGATACATGTATACTTTCATCAGTGTTTGTCTTCATCTTACTGGCTACATTTGACCATGGGTTTATTTCTTAATATGCCCCAAACCAATAATGTATAAGTCTTTCCTCCTGCTTACACAAAATCTTCAGGATACATTTATTTCCTCGCCTCTTTTTCTGACTTACATGAACTCAAGTTTTTTAAAATAAACTTTTGAATTTTAAGCCCAAATTAGTCCCCCACCCCCCAGAATGCTTCTTATACTGCCAATATTGTTCACAATCATACTATCATCATCAATTTTGGATGATAAATGAATGAATGAATGAATGAATGAATGAATGAATTCTCCTGGATTTATTTCTTGATTACCTTGCCTTCTATTTTGAGATATTATGATATGATTTTTATTCAACTATAAAACTTTTTAGTAATTTTTTCAAAATATATATTTCCTTTTAAAAATTGTCTCAGAGAGTATATAATCCCTGTGTGTGTGTGTGTGTGTGTAACCGCTAATTGGCTTACTTTCCTTCCTTTTTGTCTTTCTTTGATTTAAATGTTCTTTTCTTTTCTTTTCTTTTTCTTTTTCTTTTTCTTGGCATAGTAAAGAATTTCTTGGCTCAGAGAACTTTGCTGTCTGCTATACTTCATTGGTGCAGATGAGATGCATGATACAAGATTGACTCTTTCCTTCACTCTCATGAAGTTTATATATATATGTATATACATATATATGTGTGTGTGTGTATATATATATATGTATATAAATATATATATATATTTCCACTAATCCTTGCAGTTGAGAAAATTTCACCAGGCTAAGTTAGGGTGTGTTCTCTTCTCTTCATTGATCACACTTGGTATTAAGTATGGACTTAAAAATTCAACCCTTTTTCAGCCAATGTGAATACTCTTTTCATAGTTTGTGTTTTTTTCTAGTGGCTTTTTTGTTGTTGTTGTTGCCTTCCAGAATATCAATTGTTCCAATAGAGTCCCTGGATTTGTTCTCCATTTGTTTTGTTGCTCTCACTCTTGATTTTCAATTCTTCATAGGGTTCTTTTGTGGGAGAATTTGGCCATTTGATTTTCCAGATCATTAATTCTGTTTTCAGCACTTTATTTTCCACTTTTTCTATAGAATACTTTAAATGTAAAAATCGCATTTCAAATGAGTTGTTAAAAACCCTATTCTAAGATTGTTAGTCTACAATATATCCATCTCTGTAACAATTCATTTCTTTATTATATATATGCTGAAAAAAACTTTACCGAAT